GCGCCGCTGCGCCCCTGCGCCCCACGCCCACTCCAGTCAGCGCCCTCCTGCCCTTGCCAGTTCCAGCACCTTCCAAAGCTTCCACTTCCACTTGCCCTTCTCATTTGCTGTTTTTCATCAAACGACGCCTCCCTTAGCCCCCCACAAAGGAGCCCAGACACAGGAGCGCCCCAAAGCCTTTCTTCCTGAAACGTGTCAGGGATGTGTAGCCCAACTGCGCTGGGCGGCACCTTCAGGTTCGCAGCTCTGCCAGGTCCCCCACAGCGGCGCCCGGTGAGGAGCGGCGGCCAGGCAGGGCGAGGCTTCCCGTCTCTGCTCACACAGGCGGCCCCCCCAGGTGGCCCCCCGACCCGGCCCAGGAGCCCCGGAGGGCAGCTACGGCACTGGTCCCTGCGCCCGCCTGAGCAGGAAGCACCTGACAGGTGAGCAAGAGGCAAGCGCAGAGAGGACCCCGGCTTCAGAGCACCCCGAGAGTAAAGGGGTCTAGAGATGGAAGTCGAGGCTCCGCAGGGGACCAGTGTCTGCCAGGCAGGTGCCAGGGGTGGGCGTGGCGGGCAGGAGAGACTCTGGCAGGGGCCAGACGGCAGGTCAGGGCTGCAGGTGCACTTCCTGCCAGACAAGGTCAAGGTCAGAGCAGAGTGAGAAACCAGCTGGCTTCCGGGTGCAGCGGTCACTGCATGCACGTGTGGCAGGGGACAAGACGTGGGCCGGGCTGCGCCCGTCCTGGCCGAGGGCCATGAGGCTGCACGTGGGTAGAGGACAAGGGGCAGGTGGACGCTCACGAGGCCCCACAGGGTCCCGGCGAGGGGCGCGGGCCTGTCGTGTTGGCCCCCACGCAGCTGGGCAGCCCCGGGGCAGGCTGAGGCTCGGGAGGGGACACAGCGGGTGGTCCGAGGTGTGAGGTGTGAATGTGCCCTTGACCTTGCACCCAGGAGCGCCGGGGACCCGGGGTGTTGGGGTGCACTAGAAAACTGGGCAGGGCTTTCAGGGAACGGGGAGAAGAGTCCCCAGCCAAGGAGCAGAGCTGTGACATGCAGGAGAGAGGCCAGTGGGGAGACGGGAGGTGGGCCGGAACCCCTCGGCGAGTAAGTGGGGCCTCAGCGCTGGCCTCCCCACCGCTCCGCTGAGACGTGTGGAGCTGCGTGCTGGGGCCCTGGAGCTTCAAGGGAGGGTCGCTGCGCGCCCTGGGTACCCACCCCGGCCTCTCCCAGCGCGCCGCCCCCGGGGCTCCCCTGTCAACTCCCCTGAGGGGCCCTGCGGATGAGTGCAGGCGAGGGGACGCGTGGGTGAGGCTGGGGGGTCCCAAGGGCCCCGAACGGGCGGGGGGAGGCACCTGCCTGAGGCGGCGGCGCCACGGGGTGGGACGAGGCCGGCACTGCGGGGAGGGGCGCCCCAGCCCCCAGCTGGCGCGCAAGGAGGGCCGCTCGCAGTCACTGGCGCAGAGGGCCAGACCGCGCCAAGTGCCAGAGCGAAGCCTGTGCCCGGCAGCACTGGCGCCCCCGTGTCGTCGGCTCTACTGGGAGATTGTCGCTCTGCCTGACGCCGCTGTGCGCTGCTTGGCACTCGGCGCTCGGGCGCTCTGGCTGTGAGACGAGCGCCGCCCGCGTCGGCCTGTGGTACGGGGCGCGTGGTGTGTGCGGCCTGTGCACGGTGGCTTTGGGCACACCGGTGGCCGTGCACACACGTGTGACACATGTGCGACTCACACATGTACAACGCACACCGCGTGACGCGCTCTGTGTGGCACTGCTGCGTGGCAGGTATCACGTGCACGTGCAGCACGTGGCACATACATGCAGGAGGCTGTGCACACGTGACGTGCACACACATGACCACACGTGTGTGGTGTGTGGTGTGTGGTGTGTGTGTGTGTGGTGTGGTGTGTGGCGTGTGGTGTGTGGTGTACACACATGTGAGTGTCTGTGTGTGGCACGTGCAGTGTGGCGTGTGGCACACACGTGTGGCATGTACAGAGCGCCAGGTGATACACGCACACGTGTGCCTGCATATGTGTGTGGTGCGTGCGGTGTGTTGTGTAACACACGTGTGGTTGTGCGCACGGGTGGCATGCGCAGCGTGGCATGTGGCACACACGTGTGGTCTGTAGTGGCCGGTGGCACAGGGACATGTGTGTCTGTGCGCATGTGTGGAATGTGCAGCGTGGCATGTGGTCGTGCACACGCGTGGCACTTCACATGTGTGGTGCGTGCAGCGTGGCATGTGGCACACGTGTGGCTGTGCCTGCACACGTGTGCGTGTAACATCACACGAGCCACCTGGAGGCCGGTGGCAAACAAGCGACTTTCTCCTCTGCATTATGAGGCGCCGCGTCCACTCGTGTGGAAATGCGGAGCTGCTGTCTCTGTGTGTGAGCGTCATTTCAGCGCCTGAAGGGTTCTGTGGATATCTGTGACAGGAAGGGGGTGCTGGGTGACACCCGCAGGGCTCTGGGGTGCAACCGGGGGTTGGGTGGTGGCGGGAAGCACCGTGGGGGGCCAGCCAGCACCTGGGCCTGGGGTGGGAGGGCCGGGCGGGCGCCGGGCCCTGAAGCACAGGGGACGCAGGCTTGAAGTGTGGGAGCAGGCGCCCAGACCGTTCACGAGGAGGCCTCTCGGGTGCTGGATGAGAAGGGGAAGAGAGAAAGAGGCGCATGGAGAAGTGGGGTGCATGTTTCCTGTTTCAGGACGGGAACCAGAGTGTGGTGCTGAGAAGAGACACTGAAATTCAGGACTGAGGTGGCGTCACAGGGGCCCAGCCCAGGGCCGGCTGGTGGGGGCGTGTGGGGGAGGGGGAGGGGGTGTCTCCTGCGAAGAGCGGAGGGCGCAGCCCGTGGTGGGGTGGGCAGCCGGCGGCGTGGCACCCGCCCCGCCTCCACTGGGCAGGCCTTGGCCTCTCCGCGCGGGCTGGGGTCAGCAGCCTGACCAGGCTTGCCCTGGGGCGGACGGCCAGGGCGGTGAGGTCCCTCGGGCACTCGGGCTCCATGCCCCAGCGTGGGCCGGGCCAGGCGGCCAGGGCTGGCCCTCGTCTGGGGCAGAGACGTGGCAGGACTCCCACGGGCCCCCGCCAGTGCCCACGCGCCAGGGTCCTCGGGCTGAGCTGAGACGCGAGGCCTCTTCCTTGGAGGTCAGAGGCCCCGGGGTGCTATCTGGCTGACCCCGGGACTCAGTTCCTCTTCCTGCCCTCGTCCACTTCCCCTTCCCGCTGGGCCAGCTGCGCAGCTGGCCCAGGCCCTCCCCTGTCCTCGAGCCCAGCTCAGACCCCTGCCCCAGACATGCTCCCTGCTGCAGGCCTGCCGAGGACGGGCGTGGGGTTAACTCCAGCGGTGTGGCGTGGCAGGGACGGTCAGAATTTGGGGCTGAGAATGTGTGTCAGGCGAGGCCATAATCCCGGGAGGCCACTTCACTAAGCCTCAGTTTCCCCAACTGCAGATCGACCCCCTGCCACATTCCGTGCCCAGGTTCGCTGAGCCGGGCACAGCCGCCGAGCGTGTCGGCGAGGTGATTTGCACCCGACGGGCTGAGAGGAGGAAGGGGTGGACGGAAGGGCGGCCGGGGTGAGGCGCCTGTCTGTCTGTGCCATGAGGATGGCTCTCTCTGTGGCCCCCCCACTCTCGGGGGCCAAGTGGAAGCTATTTATTCCTAAGTCCCTTCCTCGTGGGTGGGGTGCACCAGAGAACAAACTGTGGTCTTGGGACCACAGCCGGGTATGACTCAACCCGCCTGGTCTTGTGAAAGACGGTGCAGTGGAGGGGGCAGGTATTTCCTGACTGAGCTTTCAAAGAGGCTCCCCACCTGAGGCGGAGGCGTGGAGGTGGGGCTCCCCTTTGCCACTGAGGAGATGGTGCCGGTGGGGCTGAGCTTTGGCTGAAGCCAAACAGACTGTGCCCCCCGACTCCGCCCCACACTCTGCAGGGGCAGGAGGTGGAGTCCAGGCCTGGGACTGACTCTTGGGGAGCTCCGTGTACCCCGAGTGAGTGCAGCGAGTTGTCCAAGGGCGACTTGGGCCAGCACAGATGCCAAGAAGCGGGGGTGGTCAGCGCGGGCCTCCGTAGGAGGCCTGGAGCTTCAATGCGAGGCCGTGGAGCCGTGGCCTGGGGCACCTGGGTGTGTGTGGGCGCCAGGACTCTGGTTTCTTGGGAGCTGAGCGCCTGGGTCCAAGTGAGGCAGGAGGACCGGGTAACCGGGGGGTGCCCCCGTCCCCCAGAAAGAGAGGGAAGTCAGAGCACGGTGGCTGACGAAAGAGCGTTGAGCCGGCAGTCCCTCGGAGCCGCGCGGGCCTAGGAGCCGGGCGTGGAGGGGGACAGGCCCACGACGCCTGTGCACCTGCCAGGGGCCGCAGACACTCGCTCTCTGCAGTTTGCCCAGTTGCTTGGGGCTCCCAGCTCCTGGACGCAGCGAGCATGACTGGAGAGCAGCGAACAGCCACTTCCTTCCTTGCTGGCCTGTGGTTGCCAGCTTGGAGGAGCTGAAGCTGCTATGCGGGGGCCCCACGCCGGCCCCCCACCTGGCCCCCCACCTGGCCCTGCCTGCCCCCCGCTGTGCCCCGGGAGCTTGGTCCTGCCCTACCCCTCAAAAAGGATCCTGGGCCACACCCTGCACCCCTATCTGTGCAAACCAAATGGTCCCTGCAGAGTCTCGCTCAGACTCCTGCTCCGTTCATGGGTGCTCTTGGCTCCCTTTGGCCTGTCCCTCTTGTTCTCCGTGAGCTGGGCCCTCTCCAGTGGCCCCCTCTTAGTGGCCCCCCCTCCAGTGGCCCTCTCTTCAGTGGCCTCCTCTCCAGTGGCCCTCTCTTCAGTGGCCCGGACCTCCCCCCCGCCTGTCGAAGACTGTCTGCCTGACACTTGTCTTCCCTGGTCTTCACTCCCATTCAGCTGCGCCCCAGCGGCTCTTCCCCCCAACTGTGGGCACCCCCGCTCCTGACCCCCTCCGTGGTGGTGGCCCAGGGGCCATCACAGTCTCCCTGCTTCAGTCATGCCACCCACCGCGAGTGACAGGCTCCTCCCTTCAAAGTTAAACAGAAACTGCTGATGCCTCAGTGCCAGCGGCGCTGGCTGACATCAAACAGAAACAACGGTCAGTGCACCGCCTGTTTCCGTCAGCCGTCTCCAGCAGCCATCCCACGCCGCCTGTCCACGGCGCCACTGCGCCGCGACCCCAGCCCCACACACCGGCAACCGCCGGCGCATCCCCAATGACACCCCCTTCGAGAACCAGCACACCCCACCGCCCCAGGGCCGGCGCCAAAACGCACGGAGGCAGGGCCTGCGACAGGGACAGCGAGGCCACCCCAGGGCCGGGCACCACGGCCCGCCACCGCTCAGCGGCACCCCGCAAGGGTGCGCAGAAGCCCCGCGGCCCCGGCGTGGGGGCGGCTCTCACTGCGCCCGCTCTTCCCACACTCCTGACCCGTCTGCTCCCAGACAAAGCTGCTGCCTCCCGGGGGCACCCCTGGACTGGCTCTGGGTCCCCAGTTGTGAGTTTCTCGTTCTCCCAGACGCCTGTGGGTCCACCACCCCCTTGGCGGAGCATGGCACGCTGGGGCGGGGGCCGGGGGCGCCGCTTTCTCCGGAGCAGCAAACCCTGCCCTGGGCTCTCGCTGTCTGGCTGATTTGCCCCCTGGCGCCTCCCAGCGCCCCGGGTGGTCAGACGGGGTTGCCAGAGGCCCGGCCCCCGCCAGCCCTCAGACTGACGGCCCTGCCCCTGCCTCGCGCCTTCCTCCGCCTTGGCCAGCGGCCTCGCCGCCCGGCCTGCGGCTGGCACCACTGGCCTGCCCCGCCCGGACACACGCGGACACGGCGCCGTGCCGCAAGCCTGCGGCTTGACTCCCGCCGTGACGGCCCCAGGCTGTCGCCATCCCAACCTCGAGCGCGCAGTGGCCGCCGGTCAGGGCCGCGGGGCGGGCACGCAACGCGGCTCACCGTCGGGGCGTCTGTGCGGCCGCAGCCAGACCGCTCGGCGACCCCGGCGGGGGCCCAGCGCCCGGGACCCTCGCCGCCATTCCTGGTCCCGCGTGTCCGGGAGGAGCAGGTGCGTCTCACCGACTCCAGGGGACAGAGGGACAGAGGGACAGAGCAAGAAGTGGCTCACCAAGCACCTGGGAGGAACCTGAGTTCCCTGAACCCCGGGACCGGGGGATGCTCCTGTCACTGCGGAAAGTGACACCTCAGCTGCCTGCTGCGTCCTGTGCCCCGCCTGGTGCCTCCCAGTGTAGTTCCCGCTCGGGACACCTGGGGCGCCTGGGCAGCCCCCAGGGGCCTCAGGCGCTCTGCTGTGCCCCTGCCCGTCGCCCCACTTTCTGATGGTGGGCTCAGGGCACCTCCTCCTTGCGGGGGCGCCCCACCCCTGCCCATCAGAGCCCGCCGCAGGACTTACCATGGTGGCTGCAGTCTGGACCCTGGGGGCTCCAAATGGGTCGTGGGGAGTTGCAGGCTCAGGGGGCGCTGGGGGGCGGCTCGGGCATGGCCTGGCTTGAGGCTTCACTGGACTCGCAGCCCTAGTTCCTCATATCATCACTCTTCTCACTTCCTTGACGGGAGGGGCTGGTGCTGGGCGGGGAGAGCCTCTGCAGAGACCTCCGGCTCCCCAAGCTAGGCCAAGCCCAGCAGAGTCCAGGGGTGGACGCTGGGGCCTGCTCCCGGTTCCCGGGCCCCCCGGGGCCCCCCGGGGCCGGGGCTGCGGCCAGGAGTGGGGTGCAGGTTCCTGGCGGCGGGTAGCCCCGGGAGTTGCGGGCTGCGGCAGGTGTCTTCAAAGCCCTGGGCATCCGGGAGCAGACTCCTCCGCCCTGCCCTGCCCTGCGGGCCCTCCCCCAGGGCCCGGGGGGTTTTTTGCGGGGGGTGTCAGAGGCGCCCGCAGCCAGGGGCACCTGCGGGTCTCGGAGACAGCTACGGATGTACCGCCCCACCTCACCCACTTCTGGGGGCTCCCCACTTTCAGTGGGGCCGCGGGCCCCCCCAGCACCACCCTCGGGGATGCCGCTCCCCACCCACACTGCGAGGCCCAGGCCGGCCAGCGCCCACCTCGGGAGTCCAGTCCCAACTGGTCGTGGCGGCGCCCCCTCGTGGCCACACCCGCGACCAGCTCGACTCTCCCCGAAAAGTGGTGCGCTGGGCTGGCGGCTTCCAGCCTCCACCTCACAGGCAGAGGGCAGCCCGGCCCCTGCTCCCCAGCAGGCATCGGGGAGCCTCGGGGAGGGGATTTTACGCCGAGACTGAGGACAGAGCTGGCGTCAAGCAGGTGAGAGGGTGGGGAGGCCCCTGCGCAGCGAGGGCGCCCAGATGGAGGCAGGTGGGGACACCGAGGAGCTTCCAGGTGGGTGGGGTGCCGGGGGCCGCCACGAGCTGAACTTTGGTCCCCAAATCACTGGGCTGTCACCTGTGCGGCTGCCGCGGCCTCGGGCCGGCGAGGTGACCGGCGCCCGCGGCCACGTCCTGCCGGAGGCCCCCGCGGGACGGACCAGCGCACTGACAGGCACACGCGGAATCTACACAAGACTTTATTGCTGTGGGGCTTCCTGGAGACGGCTGGGGCCAGCCGGCCCGTAGCACCATGGTGGGGCAGCTGGGTGCCGGCGTTCTCCCCCTCTCCGCCCCGCCCCTGCAGGGGCCCCCTGGGGGCGAGGCGACACCCCCACCCCCAGGGGAGGGGTCGAGCCAGCTGGTGTAACAGCTCGCCAAGCCCCTTCCCCACCCCCACTTTTCACAGTACTCAGTGCGATCAAAGGGGGTGGGGGTGACGGACGCCCCCCAGGGCGGGGCAACGGGCAACGGCCGAACGGTTGCTCCGGCTCCAGATCCCTCCAGGACGGCGTCTCACTAGGAATTAGGATCCGGCGGGGGTGCCCTGCGCGTCGCTGCCCTCTCTATCCCTCAGCCAGGGGTTCCCAATAAATAACTTCCGGCGC